TTTATATTTATATGATATATAAATAAATACGTTTAAAGAAATTTATATTATAAAAATATTTTGTTTGTTTTTTTGTATTTGTTTGTCTCCCTCAATTCAATCAAATATTTATTTATACAAATACTTCAGCAAAGCAGCAGCAGAAGCTCTGCTGCAGCAGCAACAGCTTAGCTGCAGCTGCAGCAGCTCTCCTGCAGCAGCTCTGCCGCGTTAGCAGCACTGTTGGCTTGCTGCTGCTGCTGCTGCAGGAACAGCCCTGCTGCAGCAGCAAGAGTAGCTCTGCTACAGCAGCAACAGTAGCAGGAATAGGGCTGCAGCAGCAGCAGCAGCAGCTCTGCTGCAGCAGCTACAGCAGCAAGAATAGCTCTGTTGCATCATCTACAGCAGCAGGAACAGTTCCGCTGCAGGAGCAACAGCAGCAGGAGAAATAGCTCTGCTGCAGCAGCAGGAACTGTGCTGCAGCAGCTCTCCAGCAGCAGCAGCAGCAGCAGCAGCAGGAAGAGAGTTTAACTAAATTTGTCTTCATCGAAGTCTTCATCACCGTACTTATCTTCTTCTTCCTGGTCTTCATCTGCTGCTGTTGAATCCTCATTGAAGAGTGTTTCTGCTTCTTTGTCTTCTTCTGCTGTTGCATTATTATTACGTCGCAGCAGCTGCAGCACCAGCAGCAGCACGCTACCGATAATACCTGCTGCTAGCAGCAAAGCAGCAGCACCAACACCCATCGTTGCTCCGCTAAGAAGAATTAAAACGCCTACAACAGCAGCAGCAATAAAAGCAATTAAACATTTCTTCTTTCTGCTTGTTCTTCTTCTTTCTTTAACAGCAACGCCTTCAGGAGATTCAAAGAAAGATATTAATCTGCTGCTGCTGCTGCTGCTGCTGCTGCTGCTGCTGCTGATGGAGTCTTGTGTCTTTCCTCTTTCCTTTCTTCTTCCTTCTTGAAGCAGCAGCAGCAGCAGCAGCAGCGGCGGCAGCAGCAGAAGAAGAAGAAGAAGAAGAAGGACGGCGAACAAATTTAAGACAAAGAAAGAGAACAAATCTAAGAAAGGACAAATATAATTTTTGTATTGTTTTGTGCTTTGATAAAAACTTTTTAAATCCGCTTACTCGCCGACTTTTTACTTTTAATTCTGCAAACAACAAACCCTAAACCCTAAACCCTAAACCCTAAACCCTAAACCCTAAAGCGATGAAACCACACAACTATGCACTGCAGCATCAGCAGCAAGTAGATGCAAATAAATAATAAACACAAATAATAAATTAATTAATTAATTAATTAATTAATTAATTAATTAATTAATTAATATTATAAAGAAATATGCAGATATTTGTATATACTATTTTGTTATATATTGCTTAGAATTTATTATATTATACACAATACACAAAATATAATATATATATATATATTATGTAATATATATTATATAATATATTATATGATATATTTTGTATGATACACAATATTAAATATATTATACATATTATATATTATATATATGTTATATAATATGTAAGACATAATATATAATATATAAACAATGTAAGAGAGAGAGCGCAAAGAGAAAATTGAATAGAATAAACAAAAAAAGCAAACAAACAAATAAAACAATAAAAATAAATAAATAAATAAATAAATAAACAAACAAATAAATAAATAAATAAATAAATAAATAAATAAATAAATAAATAAATGTATAATGGTGGATACTTAAAAAGTAAAAAAATAAAAAAAACCAACAAAAAGAAGAAAAATTAATGCATTAAAAATAAACAACAAACACTATAAAAATATAAAGCGAACGGAAAACCCTAGGGTTTAGGGTTTAGGGTTTAGGGTTTACGTACGGGATGAAACATTAGAACCGAGTTCTTCTGTTATTATTGCATGCAGCGCTTCTACTTGCTGCTGGCTGACTTCTTTTTGTTTATTATCTTTTAAAGAATTATTTATTTGTTTTTCTGCTGATGTTGCTGCTGAATATAATACTTTATACTTAGAAAACGAAGATAGATAAGCTGTTAACAGCCCTCTGTTATATTCTGCTGCTGTTTCTCTCTCTTTATTATTATTATTATTATTATTATTATTATTATTATTTATATCTATTGAAGCTTTTAATGCATTAACTAAGACTTGTTGTCTAACAGCTGCTTCTGTTACAGATATATTTTCTCTGCTTTGTTTGTTTGAGGGGTTTAAGCCGTTTAATGCATTTAATTTATCTTCTCTATTTATTTCTATTACTCGTTCTGAAGAACATTTACTAAAATCTAAACCAAATAAAACAAAAGAAAAGTAAAACCACTCAACTTGAGGGGGTGCAGCAAATGCGTAAAGAAGAGAAAGCTTATAATCCTGAAAACAAACAAAAACAAATAAATAAATTAATTAATTAATTAATTAATTAATTATTTTATGTAAAAATAAATAATAATCAATTAATTAAATATAACTTTCGATATTATTAGCGGGGATAAAGAAAAAAAATGTAATGCAAACAAATTGATATCATCCAAACCCTAAACCCTAAACCCTAAACCCTACAAAACCCTAAACCCTAAACCGCACACCCTACAAAACCCTAAACCCTAAACCACACACCCTATAAAACCCTAAACCCTTAACCCTAAACCCTACAAAACCCTAAACCCTAAAACGTAAACCCTCAACCCTAAACCCTAAACCATGTGTATCTTACTTCGACGGCTTGTTGTTTGTGTTTTTGTTTTTTAAATCTAGATTGAACTATCTTTTGTTTATCTTTAATTAATTGTTCTCTTTGCTCGCAGATAGCGGCTTGTAAAGCCCCCGAAATTTGTGAAGTACAGATAGATAAATTATTTTTGATTTTATCTGCTGCTGTTGCTGCTGCTGCTGCTGTTGCTGCTGCTGCTGCTGCTGCTGTTTCTGCTGCTGTTGTTTGTTCTTTAGCTGCTTGTTTTGCTCTTCTTTTTGAGCTTTGTTTTTCTTCAGATTGCTCAGATAAAGATGTCTCCGTCAGGTGTACGTGCAGCTCAGCCCAGTCAGGCGAAGATATTCGTAAGCCGAACAAACCTAAATAAAACAAAACTAATTAAACAATAATTAATTAATTAATTAATTAATTAATTAATTAAAATAATTAATTAAAATAGAGTACAATAATTAATTAATTAATTTAATTAATTAATTATTTAACATAAAAAACGAACAAATAAAAATTAAAAATAAATAAAAATAAAAATAATAAATATAAACATAAAGATAAAGAAATAAAAACAAATATAAAGAAAACATAAACAACTAGAAAAAAAAGATAAACAGATATAAACACAACAATAAACAAATAGAACAATCAAATAATTAAATATAAATAAAAATAATAAAATATAAACTAAAAATAAACATAAAAATATATTTAAAACAATTAAACTTACTGCTTGAGTCGTGAGCAGAGAAAAGCGGATGATATAGAGGCATAGACAGATGTTGTGAAATGCAGTCTGAGTATATAAATAAATAAATAAATAAATAAATAAATAAATAAATAAATAAATAAATAAATAAATAAATAAATATACAAACAAGCGATAAACAAATATATAAACCCTTGCTATGTATTCTGAATAAACAGAAACAAAAAAATAATTTAAAAAATATAAACAAATAAAACAAAAAACAAACAAAACAAACAAACAAACGAACAAATAAATAAATAAAATATAGCAGGAACAGCAGCAGCATCAGCGACAGCAGCGGCAACAGCAACAGCAGCAGCAGCAACAGCAGCAGGAACAGCAGCAGCAGCAGCAGCAGCAGCAACAGTAGCAGCAGCAATAACAGCAGCAGCAACACTACTAGCACAGAAAAGAAAAGCATAACAACAAACCCAACAGCAAAACGAAGTCAACAGAAAAAAACCTAAACCCTAAACCCTAAACCCTAAACCCTAAACCCTAAACCCTAAACCCTAAACCCTAAACCAGATCGGAAGAGCGTCGTGTAGGGAAAGAGTGTAGATCTCGGTGGTCGCCGTATCATTAAAAAATACCTTAAACCCTAAACCCTAAACCCTAAACCATAAACCATAAAAAGATCGGAAGAGCGTCGTGTAGGGAAAGAGTGTAGATCTCGGTGGTCGCCGTATCATTAAAAAGAATCTTACCATATATCGGTTTATGTTCGCATGCTTCTACTAAAACCCCCCACATATTTAAAATATGTTTTTGTTTATCTAAACAAACTCGTTTAAAATTTTCTTTTAAAGATAAACATCTTCTATTTACTTCAGTTGTCATCTCATATACACTCCGAACTCGTACACAGTTGAGAAGACCTATAAATAAAAAATAAAATATACAAAAGAAATTAAAAATAAATATTAAAACAATTACAGAAAAGAAGAAGCATAATGTAAATAATAATGATAATCAATAAATAATAATAATAATAAATAATGTATAAAAATACTAGTGAGATAATAATAATACTAATAATAAAATAATAATCAAAATAATAATAATAATAATTAGCAAAGAGACAGAAAACAATACAGAAATAAATATATAAATAAATACACAAAAAAATACACAAAAAAACAAACAAACAAACAAACAAACAAACAAAACAAACAAACAAATAAATAAACAAATAAACAAATAAATATAAATAAATAAATATACTTCTTGCTTCTTGACTCTCTGCTAATTTAATTATTTCTTCTTCTTTCATCGCAGACATCTTCAAATTGTTTCGCGTAAAAACTTTTTTGACTTTAACCCAAAGCCCTGTGAACGGCTGAACATAAATAAATAAATAAATAAATAAATAAATAAATAAATAAATAAATAAATAAATAAATAAATAA